AGGGAAGAAATACCCCCCTAGAGCAAGTCAAAACCACTATTTTTGCCTTTAGAAGTGAAAAGAAAGGGTGTCTGTGGGGGGCCTCCTTCCCTGTCCAAGTAGGCCAATAAAACAGAATTGACTGCACACCATTTCTTCTCCCTTGCTTAATGGCAACCTGATGCAGAAAAGCCCCCTTGGTTTCCTTTGACATGGCCATTAAGAACCTATTAACTGATCAAGTGGTAGAGACTCCCCATGGTCATACTCCATGCCAAAGCCCCCAAGGGAGAAGAAATCGTGACAGATTAATTTTTTTGTATTTCTTTGGATTATTCATAAAATAGACAATTCACAGAAAAGGACCTTCTCGATTTTAAGTATCCCAAATGCTGCACAATACACACCTCTTCTCACCGATAGGGGAGGCTTCTATTGCCAATAAATACATTTCCATCACCAGGTGCTGCACTTGGCATTTAAGGAAATCTCATGTAACTCCTTTAACAATACTTTGTAGGTGTTGTTATTGTGTTCTTACTTAACAGGTGGGTAAAGAGAGTGCTGGAGATGTGAAAACCAAGCTCACCAAGTGGGTTTTGTGTGTGTGTGTGTGTGTGTGTGTGTGTGTCCGAGCCAGGATGGAAAGGCAGACGTGCTTGACTTGGAAGCTCATGCTATTGTGCTTGTTCTGAGGAACAGATCTGCCATTGGCTTTTTATGATGTAGCAAAAGGTAGACGTCTAAAGAGAAACCTCATTACAGAGAGGGACCAAGAGGAAATGCCCTTTCCATAGCATTCCAGTAAGGAGATAGACGGGTCACTACTGCAATATTAGCTATGATTGAGCGAGTCAGAATCACCGTGCTAGGAACTGACACAAAGCAAGATGGAAGGCTCACTGTGTTGGAGACACACCTGCTTTCTGCTTGAGTTCTCACAACAGTTCCCTGAGCTAGTTGCCCATTTTAGGATCCTGATTTTACCAGTGAGAGGGCTGAGCTGCAGGGGGCTCTAGTAATTTTTCTCAAGTTACAGAGCTCTTTGGAGATGAAGCCTGAATATACACTAACAAAAGGAAATGGAACATTCCAACAGGGTTGAGAGGATCTTCGTACACGTGCTACAAATACATCTACGAATGTGGTGGAGCCTACAGGGGAAAGCTATGGACACTTCTTATACATGACCAAGCACCTTCAGGGAATGAGGCGCTAGGCCTGGGGGTCAGGACCGTAGTCTTGGGGAGCACAAAGATCAGCTAACATAACATAGTCCACAAGACACTGTTCTTCATTTGACAAAACACAGTCCACAAAAACAATGCTTCACATCCGACTCTGTTGAATAACAACTGGGATCTTAAAGTCTCATGAACGGCCCTCTGAGGGGACTATTAGTGTGAAGAAAACGGCACACTCACAGGAACAATTAGTTCAGGGGAGTAGTGGATCATGTGAACCTCAGTATCCATGGCCCTGAACCTAGCACTAGAGCAGCTGTTCTCAACCTGTGGGTCGCGACCCCTTTGGGGGTTGAACAACCCTTTCGTAGGGGTCGCCCAATTCATAACAGCAAAATTACAGTTATGAAGTAGCAGTGAATTTTATGGTGTGTGTGTGCGGGTCACCACAACATGAGGAACTGTATTAAAGCGTCACGGCATGAGGAAGGTTGAGAACCAGTGCGGTGGTGTCTGACTACCCCTAGCAAATGCTCAGGAAGGGATCAGGTTCTAGGTAGCACAGGAGAAAATGTGGATCAAAACTAAAAATTATTAAAAATACCAGGCTTCCTGGTTGGTCAGAGACTGTTGGGACCCTTGAGACCCTGGCTTTATACACTCTTCAGGTTTGGAAATGGACTCACCTCGATAGCTCAGTTTTCAACTAGGACCACCAGAGAAATAATCAACCATTTGAGATCAAAAGGGCAGCATTTGTCCAAGGACACATTCAGAAGGGTTGGGAAAGAAGGAGGAATGGAGACAGGAAACAGAGGAAGTGGGAGAAGTGATGTTGCATTGAGGGGAGTACAATGAATGAGGGGAAACAAAATGCGCATGCACTTTTGAATATGAATATAAGGAACTGCTCTGTACACCGTCACCCAGTTTACAATAAAAGTATCTTAAAAACCTCCCCAAACCAAGCTCAGTGTGGAGAAGTCGGTTCTGACTCATAGAGACCCTCTGTGTTTCAGGGTACAGTTATGTGTCCCTTGACATTTTGGATACACTCTGTGATGTGGGACAGTATGTTATTTCGGTATTGTAGGAACATCATTTTACATACAGGCAATCCTTGGATTACTAAATCTGTCTTTAAGTTGAAGTTGTACACAGGTTTGAACAGATAGATGTGGTCATATCTGGTATCAGTTGAATGCTTGTCTTAGCATATGGTCTGCAATGTACCCTTCCAATGCATAAAAACATTAAGGACACACTTCGAGGTGCCTGCACTAAAACACCATTAACACAATAATACCGCAATCATGATAATAATATTTTGAAGTGCTGCATCACAAAGTAGTGCCCATTTGTTACTACAAACTGTTTTCTATACTTCATAGTTTTAGTGCAACTGGTCTTTTCAGTTGGGTCAATGGCTGTACAATATACAGTAGGCTGTTGTCCAAATGGACACTATGTGGTGTGTGAATAACTGTACAGACATGAATAAAGTTTCCAAAATCAGTGGCCTTTTGGAATTAGATCACTAGGCTTTTCTTCTGAGGCATCTCTGGGTCGGTTTGACCTGCCAACCTTTCATTTAATAGCGGAATGCTTAATCATTTGTGCCACTCATCCAGGGGCTCCTGGGTGTATACCTCCTCTACATTATTCCAGAAACCATCATCTTATATACTTTATTATATTATCTCCCTATCTCTTGGACAATCAGTCAAGGTCACATACCCACTCTCTGCATTCTGTCCATCTTTTCATGCCCAAGACAAAAGTCAGGTGAGCCTCAAGTGGTCTGACCATTGTAAGCTTAGCCTTTGGTGGAAGATGTCCTGTGGCCCCTAAAAATCTGCATCTCAGCCTAGCTGGGCACTTTTCAGAAGCCCAGTCCATTAGGGATAGTCTTCTGATGTTAGGAGGGTTCCCTCTGGTGGTGGAGTGCTTACTTATTGGGCTGTTAACTGCAAGGTCAGAAGTTTGAAACCACCAGTCGGCTCTGAGGGAGAAAGAGAAGTCTCTCTACTCCCTTAAAGAGCTATAGTCTCAGAAACTCACAGGGGTAGTTCAACTCTGCCCTATAGGCAGGCTATGAGTCGGCATCGACTCAATGGCATTGAGTTTGGTTTGGCTCCCCAGGCCCCCAGCCCCTCACCCCCACCCCATCACACACACACCACCACTAAAGGTAGTTCCAGAATAGAATAGAATGTGAGGGCAAAGTGCATTGCAAGATTTTTCACAGAAGTTATTGATGTTGTTCTTGATTTTATATATATATATATTTCCCAGCATGTTCTGGACATTTTGCTAAACTTAACTAAAATATTAAGTTCATGTATGGGTATAAATCAAATCTTCTGGTCCAGAAGAAATGAAAGGAAATGGAGTTGGGCTGATAGCTCACCATTTGCTTCATTTCTGTCATCACTACTCATTATTTCTACTTAGTTGATATGGGAAACTGTGCTGAAAGAGAAGCTATTTGGGATTGGATCCCAAAGGACCTTGAAGGAAACCCTAGCAGCAGTCAGATTGTTCAAAGTCTGCACAAATGTCCTGAAAGAAAAAGGCAAGGTTCATCAACGGCACGGACACAGCTTTCCTCCTAACGGAGAAAGCAGCATTAGATGTTTGTATGATGCATACGTGAAAGAGACAGCTCTGCTTTGCTAGAGGTTGGGCAGATGTATAAACTGAAACATCTTTCCTCGGAGAGAGTGTCCTCTTTAAAATGTATAATAATAACCATAACCAACAAGGTTTGGCTAAATAAGTCGCTAACTGAAAATCAGGGATCCATGAGAAATGGGTCTTTTTTTGTTTTGATTTTGTTTCTTAAGATTTCTGCTGAGTTTTGGACTGAGTGGACATTTCTATTCAGTGTCCCTAGGCTTTGGGTCAGATGGGAACTCAGATACAATGCCAAGGTGACATGTTTAACCTCTTTGGCAGATAAAAGAGGGGCAAAAGATACCCTTTCTGCAGAGCCTTTGGGCATACAGTATCTACAGCATCCACCTGCAGTTGAACGTCTGGTTGCCTCCTGCACGGCCAGCTTTCAGACCTCGAGGAATGAGTGAGCAAGACTTGCACCGTAGAACCATTCCCTTAATCCCTTTAGCTCTTCATTCCCCCACCTACTTTTGTTCTTTAAATAGGACATCATTAGCATATAGAAACCAATTATATATGTGGATGTGCATCTTAAACAAAATGAGAGGAGACAAGAAACAATTGGCTATAAAGATTTCAAAGACAATTGGAGGAAGGACAATACAATTGCTTAAAAATTATCAAACAAGACTATAGTATTCAAGGAATTTCCCAGTTGTTTTTTGAAAAGCAAAATGACTAATTTCCACATTACTGCTTATATACATATATAAATTAAAAATGGAAAACTTAATGAATTACTTTGATTTGAGATAAAAGGAAAAGCCTACTTTCCATATGACTTGCTTCATCTATTATAAATCTAATATCTATTACATAAATAAAATATATTTTAGAATTTAGCTTTCCCCATAAACTGAATGCTATTCTGACAAACAGCATTTCTGCCTTTGTATCCTTGGTCTATGTTGAAACGACCCTCCTTTAGTAATAATTGCTATTTAATTGTTGGAGGGGAAAAGGGAACCTGAATGCGAGTGTTGAAAACTCCCTATATTAAGTAGCTTTCCAACAAATCATGCAAATATTCTCCCCCCCCCACCCCCGAGTATATGATTTTGTATTATTTAGGCAAAAGTATGAGGCAGCTTCCCATCAATCATGCCGATTGGTTTGACAAGAACAATTAGATAATATAGTAAATCGATGAAAATTTACCTTCGGTGAGGTGACTGGACCCCGCGCCTCAGCAGCAAATTGAAGTTGGATTCCTTCTTTGGCCACAGCCCTGGGGGAAAAGTTTGGCAAATACCCAACAGCAACTCTAAATCTCTCCTCTCTTTACCACTGCTTCTTTGCCCAGAAACACGTTCGAGGCTATTGGATTTGAAATTGTGCTGCTCTGTCAACTACCCAGGGACCGAAGTGATAGGTCAATTTGGAGCTTGGTATCCGAGAGGGATTTTAGCCCGTCATTGTTTTTGCTGCGGATCTCTGCATCTCCCTAGCAGGCTGGCCTCTCCCTCCGCAGAGGACGGAGGACGCAGTGTGCTTTCACGCTGTGCAGACCAAAAGGGAAGGAGAGGATTATGCCAGCGTCCAGGGGGTTAACGGCCCTCCCCTCACAGGCTCATAACTTGGCCAGAATTTAAGCACTTGGCTCTTTATGCAATGTTTTAGTTTTCCTTTTCCAGCAACTCTAAAAGGCTTTTATAAGCAGGGTTCCTTTTAGGGGGGGATTTTAAGACTTGGAAAAGAAATTCCATGCTGTTGTTTCTTCCTAAAGGAAACTGGGGGTGGGCGTGGGGTGGGCGTGGAGCAGAGTAAAGAAGGCAAGATGAATTGCAGCAGCTGCTTCTTTATACTTTTCCCGTCAGAAAGGGTTCTCATGAATATAGTCCAGATGTTCGCTAGAGCAGGATAGGTCAGGTACCTTGCTCTGAATGGCTGTGTACAGACTAGCAGATCCCGTATAGGTCTATTTAGAAATGGTGCAGTTCAGGTTCTTCTCTCCACTAAACAGCTCCCTTCCCTGGTAAGCTGATGGTTGGGCTCTAAGGAACCTTCTGGTGAAACAGACTGGAGGCATGCATTTATTTTGGGCCTAGCAGTCTGGTTATTTACATATGTGTCACACCTCTTTTCCATCCATCACACCTTTCTTATGTGTGAAATGCTGTGCTGACAGCTCTTGTGTGCTATTCCAGTTGAGCTTCACAAGTCCACATGAGGTCAGGTCTACTGTGTTCCCAGTTGTGAGGCCGTAGGGGTAGTGGTGAGATCTGCAGGCTTTGGGGGCAGGGAGCTTGGGGTTGCACCCTGGCTACACCAATTTTTAACATTAAAGCGTGTACAGGCAGGAATACAAATGTGGGAACGAACCATAATGACATCTCTCTCGGATGATCCTTCTGAGTTTTCGAGCTGCCCGGAGTCGGAACCAAGTGAATGCATGAGCATCACGTGGTTGTTGTTGGTGCCTTTGAGTGGGTCCCGGCTTTTCACGACCTTCCATAAAGCAGAAGGAGGCACAGCCCAGTCCTGCGCCATCCTCACAATGGTTGTTATGTTGCAGCCTATTGTTGCAGCCATGGTGTCCATCCATCTGGTCAAAGAGGGTCTTCCTCTTTTTTACCCTGACCCTCTAACTCGACCAAGACTAATGTCCTTTGGGGTTATGATTTGCATAGGAGGACACGAGCTGAGCAATGTTGAGTGTATCTAGTATCTTAGGGCTCCTGAGCATTACAATGGGATTCAAACCCAACTATCTTGGCTGAGTGCCAGGCTCATGCTACTCACTCTTCAGACCCCAGCAAGCAAGCCACAAGCTCTTTAAGGGTAGGGAATGTACCCTCTCCCTCTATATTTTACAAGTGCTTAGGACAGTGCTTAGAACACCATAAATGCACTATGTAACATTAGATAAATGGTGGCAATTTAAGTTAATTGGCTGTCTGAATTTATGACAAAATCAGGCCAAAAGCCAAAGAGACAAATTAAAGCAAAACCACATAAAGAAAACCCAATTCTGTATTTCAAGGCAAATATGCCCTTAGACGATTCTCTGGAAGCATATTGCCCTATTTATTTTCACATCACCCAGAGACAAAGGTAACAAGAATTATCTTTATGTTGCAATTGGGGAGATTTGGGCCCAGAGGAAACTGGGCAACATGCCTGGATCTGAGAACCAGTCAGTGGTGCAGCTGGGAACCGTTTTACATCGCTGGAATTAGGATTACTTGTTCCAGGCTGCCTTTCCAGGGACGTGACATCCTTGTGCTTCAGACAATGGATGTTTTTCCTTTGCCAATGTCTGCTGCGTGAGTGGTCTCATCAGGGAAAGGATAAAAGGGGTGGGCTGGGAATGACTTTGCTTCCCCCTGCTCCTTCGCACACATGGGTTTTAGACGTATGGAAGGCACAGACTCCATTTCCCCAACAGCTGCGTCCCCTTCCTCACCCTCCCACAATGCCCCTGAGGGGCATTGGAGTGGGGGCTACTGCAGGATATGGGGGAGAAACATTTTTGAAGATTTTGGCCCTGTTGGTTAAGGAACATTTCCTCAAAGACTCAAAATAATAACTCTTTATCTTCACAAGCACTCTCATTTATTGGGAATAACTTGATGTACTTGATTTTAGGTCATTATATCAGTGTAGCGAACATTTCACGGAGGGATATGGAAAAAAGATTGTCACTGCCATAGAGTCGAGTCCCACTTAGAGCGATCCTATAGGACAGGGTAGAACTGCCCCATACAGGCTTCTGAGACGGAAGTTGTTCACGTAAGTAGAAAGCCTCATCTTTCTCCCCAGGAGTGGCTGGTGGTTTTGAACTGCTGACCTGATGTTAGCGGTCCAATGTGTAACCCACTGTTCCACCAGGAAAAAAAAAAAATCAGAGGGACTGAAGTATCTTTTCTAACACATTGCTATTTTATGTTTCTATGAGATGCTCAAAATAAACTTTATTATATAAATATGTTACCTGAAAACATCCTTTGGTTAGAGTAGATTAGATCCATCTGTTTAATGTAAATGTGTGCCTATGGGGTTCATTTATAGGAGACCAACCTTGAGAATCTTGGGGGTCTTTTATAGAGTAGCTCTTCTAGAGCTTATTAATCTATAATGCTTGAAAAACTGACTGTATTGCTTTTAATGAAATAAAAGAGAAGAATGATTTCAAAAGGACCTTGAATTCACAATGTTTTTAAATATGGTGTTATTTTGGGAATTTTCATTGGCAGAAATCCAGAGTTTTATTGTTTCGAAGCTGTTGTTTCTAAAATAGTTGACAGCACATGAAGCTGAGAACAATAAATACTCAACAATATCCACCAAACAGATGGAACTTTGTGTCAGATTGAGAAAAGTTATTCCACTAAATGTGATAGGAAAACTTTTGGAAAATAGAGTGATTATTACCTTATTGTATATGTACTGGTCTAGGTAACAATCAACCTCGATGTTCAGCAAATATCAACAACTAAGTTGGAGCATGTATTCTTAACCCTTTAGGATTAGGATCCCCTGTGAGAATCTGATGAAAGCCATAGGCAAGCTAATCAAGACTTCAGAATTAGCATAGAGTGTGCCTGAGCCATAAGAAGAGTCCCACTTACAGGGACTCTAGAAGCTTATGAACCCCTGGAACAGATGAGAGGTTCCTGGGCAGCACAATGGTTTACACTTGACCACTGACATAGAAGGAGTCACAAACCTTTAAGCACTGGATAACCAATGGAGAGTTTGATAGTTCAAACCACCCCAGACTTGCCTCAGAAGTCAGGCCTGGTATCTATTGGTGTCTGCAAAGCCTGTGGACTGGGCACAGCTGTACTTGGGACACGTGTTCCACCATGAGTTGACATTTACCCAATGGCAGCCAAGAACCCCCACAACAATTGATCTCCAGGCGGCAGTTGGGAGCCACCAGCAGCTCCCCAGAATGCAGTCTTCTGATTCCTATGGAGTGGTTCTGTTCCATAACACACCGAATCACTGAGTCGGAATCCACTCTTTTTTCTTCCTTATTATTGTTGCTGTTCGGGTGAAGACCAGGGAATACACTACTTCATCCTCTAGAGCACAATAAGGCTCTTGTTATTCACATCACACAGCTTTGAGGGAAATGAGAGCAACATCTGACTCCCTGTGTATTCTGAGTTGAAGAGACCAGTCATATGTCACATACATTCATTGCCAGAAGGTAGCAGCATTCCCTTGGGTGGTGGAGAGCCTCAGGTAGGAAGTGAATATGGAGAAAGAACAGCTACAATGAAAACAGAATAATCTGTACTTATGTTGGCCAGGACCTGGCCTGTCCAACCCCCCTCCAAATTTACCCAATTTGCCTTTTTGGGCGTTGGTAATTAGTCCTGTCTCCATGGACCTTGCTTTTGGACTCGATACTCAGTTCTCAATTCTGGCATCATTACTAACCTTAGCCTGCTCCCGGTTCTGACATCAGCTCTTGGCACTGAACCACCTCAGATTACTGGCCTGATCGCTCAGCTGTGTATTAACCTTTGATCACCATTGGGGTTAGTTTCTAACAACTGATTCTTGCAGAATTTTATTCTAGTCATTTTTCCTGAGCCGAGCCCTACTGACAAAAGCTGTGGGCAAGCTTAGCCATACTCTTGATCAGGCCCTAAGCAAAAGCTAGACACACAGGAAGTGATTAAAAATAAGAACTGAACTGAACTTAATGTCATTGAGTTAATTCTGGACTCTATAGGAGAAGATAGAACAGCCTCCGTGGGTTCTGATCTTTCAAGTCCTAAATAAAGGAAAATGGTTCCTAGGAGTTTATCCTGAGTAAAAGATTAAAACAACAACAACAATTAACAACAACAACAAAATCCAAACAAACTCAAACTTATAGCCATTGACATTTATGCCAACTCATAGCAATCCTATAGGACAGGGTAGAACTGCCCCTGTGGGTTTCCACGACTGTAACTTTCTATGGGAGTAGAAATCCTCATTTTCTCCCTTGTGGTTAGCAGCCCAACATATAACTAATAAAAGAATAGCAAAGTGTGCAAAGTGTTTTGTTAAATATAGCATGGCTCATATAATTAACTGATCATTTTAGGGCTGGTGGACTTTGGATGCCAAGAAGTTTGGCCTTTACTCATCAAGGAAAGGGAGCTCTGGGAGGTTTCCTGTCCAAGGTTGGAAAACACGGCGAGGAAAGAATCTACACTGTGGTATTCAGCTGGATAGGTTGTTACATTCCAGCCACAAACGGCCCCAATGTAAATCCCTAAAGTCTAACAATAACAAAAGTTTACTTTTTCTTCATGCTACATGTTCACTGCAGTTCTGCTGCCATTCTGCCCCAGGCCTTCTCCACTCTGGGATTCTGATGGACTGAGATCCTCCTTTGGTAGAAGAGAATGAGATAGCAAACTGTGTGGCTTCCTTAAAGCTCCTGTTTGGGTGTGATGAACATGGCTTCTGCCCACAACAAGTCATTTAAACATACCTGAATTCAACAATGTGGGAGCCAATCTTCCCATGAGAGAAGAAACCATGCATTTTGAAGAGAACCAGAACACAACTTTTAACCAGGAATGGACACATTGGGCAGTCTGTTGGAAAATAAAGTATTAGGAAAAAGAACAGAAAAGGAAGAT